CGATGGACAATGGGATGGTACCGAGACGTGCACGCCGTCACATTTTTGGCGGTGTCACCAACAACGGGGCCTTGGTGAAACGTCAGTGCAGACGTTGTGAATGACATGTTGTTGACTATGGTAGGATTCATCAACGGTCTGATGATAGAAACATTAAACATAGACCACCAACAAGACCATTGATAGAGTGGTAGGAGTAGAAATTCGAAATCAGCGATTCACAGATTTTTAAGTTTGGTGGACCGTTGTTCAAGTTTCTAAATTGCACCAGGGACCGGTGGCAGAATTATTAGTTAAAGTTTCTTTTAAACGTCGGGCTCGTGGACCGGCAACGTCGGGCTCGCGGACCGGCAACGACCGACTCGCGGACCGGCAACGTCGGGCTCGCGGACCGGCAACGTCGGGCTCGTGGACCACCATTTGGAAATGTTGATCTAAGGGACATTTAATTTTTGTATGGACGCATTTGGTCATTCAGATGTTTTTGTAGAGACAACAATAAACATCGCATTCCTGATACCACGACGTCCCTTACTTGTGTTGACTAGATGAGAACTGTCAATCAACTGAGGGTGACCAAAACTGGTAGTTTGAAACAGCATGGATGCATATGTGTAGTTGAGAACTACATGAAGACACATATTATGGGCTAGTGTTAGGTTGAGAAACATAACACAACTGCGATAATTCATAAAGAAGCTTTAAAAAAAATTCAGAATCTGATGTTATCCATATTATATGATCACTTACTGATAACCTCTGCCCACTGACCGGTAACATAATCACAGTGTCCGGTACGTCAGTCCAATGTCATGTCACGTCAGTCCAATGTCCTGTCACGTCAGTCCAATGTCCTGTCACATCAGTCCAATGTCCTGTCACATCAGTCCAATGTCCTGTAACTTCAGTCCAATGTCCTGTAACATCAGTCCAAGGTCCTGTAACATCAGTCCAATGTCCTGTCACGTCAGTCCAATGTCCTGTCACATCAGTCCTATGTCCTGTAACATCAGTTCAATGTCATGTAACATCAGTTCAATGTCATGTAACATCAGTCCAATGTCATGTAACGTCAGTCCAATGTCCTGCAACATCAGTCCATTGTCATGTAACATCAGTCCTATGTCCTGCAACATCAGTCCAAGGTCATATAACATCAGTCCAATGTCCTGCTACATCAGTCCAAGGTCCTGTAACATCAGTCCTATGTCCTGTAACATCAGTCCAAGGTCCTGTAACATCAGTCCAATATCCTGTAACATCAGTCCAATGTCCTGTCACGTCAGTCCAATGTCCTGTCACGTCAGTCCAATGTCCTGTAACATCAGTCCTATGTCCTGCAACATCAGTCCAATGTCCTGTAACATCAGTCCTATGTCCTGCAACATCAGTCCAAGGTCCTGTAACATCAGTCCTATGTCCTGCAACATCAGTCCAATGTCCTGTAACATCAGTCCTATGTCCTGCAACATCAGTCCAATGTCCTGTAACATCAGTCCAATGTCCTGCAACATCAGTCTTAGGTCCTGTAACATCAGTCCAAGGTCCTGTAACATCAGTCCAAGGTCCTGTAACATCAGTCCAATGTCATGCAACATCAGTCCAATGTCATGTAACATCAGTTCAATGTCATGCAACATCAGTCCAAGGTCAGATCATGAATTCCTGTTTACCTGGTTACAGATCGGTAGCAATATATTTACTTTCACTTACCTGGCCATGATCATAGAAGAAGCTAAGCGTAACTATAATATAGTCAGAAGAAGTTACACGTAGCTCTGTAGTCAGAAGATGATCCAAATCAAGTATACAGTCAGAAGATGTTTCACGCAACTCTGTATACCTAGAGACGGCTCAAGCAACGAAACATTCAATAGATACTATAATTAACAATGAACTTTTTGGAAATGAACTTTGACTGTCAAAAGCCATTAAGTTGGTCACGTGTCAACTGTGTGTGAGTCAACGTGAGGCTGCAAGCTTGAGGTGATGACATAGTGATCGTCTTCTTCTCTTAAGTAGCACGGCATTTTAACACAGGCACAGTGTGTTTGAAAGTGACTGTCATTGTGACACAGGCACAGTGTGTTTGAAAGTGACTGTCATTGTGACACAGGCACAGTGTGTTTGAAAGTGACTGTCATTGTGACACAAGCACAGTGTGTTTGAAAGTGACTGTCATTGTGACACAGGCACAGTGTGTTTGAAAGTGACTGTCATTGTGACACAGGCACAGTGTGTTTGAAAGTGACTGTCATTGTGACACAAGCACAGTGTGTTTGAAAGTGACTGTCATTGTGACACAGGCACAGTGTGTTTGAAAGTGACTGTCATTGTGACACAAGCACAGTGTGTTTGAAAGTGACTGTCATTGTGACACAAGCACAGTGTGTTTGAAAGTGACTGTCATTGTGACACAGGCACAGTGTGTTTGAAAGTGACTGTCATTGTGACACAAGCACAGTGTGTTTGAAAGTGACTGTCATTGTGACACAAGCACAGTGTGTTTGAAAGTGACTGTCATTGTGACACAGGCACAGTGTGTTTGAAAGTGACTGTTATTATAAGTCATTAATTACCGTGCTTGCGTAACATAATGTAATGTCATTTAGTGGATCTCAAACAGACGTTGCATGGCGCAATCAATAATTGTTTAAAAATGTTAAACAAGTTCTCCCAATAAAAGCTCCTTGGAGTGGGATACACTTTTTTTTAAACTCTCCCAGTTATCACAATATCCCGATTATCAAACTAACCAACTTATCACACTATCCAAATTATCAAATTTTTCAACTTATTACACTATCCAAACTCTGAAGAAATCCAACTCAGTATACGATCCTAATCACAACACAATCCAACTCGCCACACAATCGTACGCACCACACAATCCAAATCACCATGCAACCCAATTCACCATATACGTCAACTCCCCACAAACTCGAACTTCGCACACACTCCAAATCACCATGCACACAATCCAACACACAACACAGTCCAACACACCAAACAATCCAACTCACCACACAATCCAACTCTCCTCCACACAATTCAACTTTCCACACAATCCAACTCTTAACACAATCCAACTCACCACACAACCCAACTCTCCATCCAATCCAACACACCACACAATCCAACTCACCACACAATCCAACTCTCCGTCCAATCCAACACACCACACAATCCAACACACCACACAATCCAACTCTCCACACAATATAACTCTCCACACAATCTAACTCACCACACAATCCAACTTATCACACAATCACAATGTTTACCTACACTAATGTGTGAGTTTGCCTCAATGGTTCAGTTTGTCTTCCTAATGACTTGATGAAGATGTCTAAGTAAAGCTTTGACTAAAATGACCATGAATGCGTATCCGAAAATTTGTTTGAAAGAAATTTCGTCGACGGAAAATTGATCGACGGAAATTTTATCGAACTTAAATTGGGTCGAAACATTTTTTTCAGTTCACATGTTAAAATTTTCGTCAAATTTCTTTTTGAACGCAGCAAACAAAACAAACTAATGACAAGCAGCCCGAAGGGAACTGAAGACTTCTCTTTTGAAGATGTATGTTTAAAAATATACTTTTGTTGTTATTGTGGGTGTGTGTCATTTATTTTATTTTGTTGTTGTTGATTGCCGTGAGTCTCAGTGAGACGACGGTGTTGCTTTCGCTGGAAATCATGAAAGCACACGAAGCTGGTTCCTAGTCAGCAGACGGACCCACCCTCTCCACGAAGCTGGTTCCTAGTCAGCAGACGACCCACCCTCTCCACGAAGCTGGTTCCTAGTCATCAGACGACCCACCCTCTCCACGAAGCTGGTTCCTAGTCAGAAGACGACCCACCCTCTCCACGAAGCTGGTTCCTAGTCAGCAGACGAACCCACCCTCTCCACGAAGCTGGGTGAGCCCAAGAGGCAGTCACGGCTTGGCGCATGGGCGTCGCATGAGTTGGCCAAGGGACCCCCCACCGAATAATTCTATTGGGCTGTTTGGGGTTGTTTCCCTTGTATTGTAGGGTTTTTACCCACAATGCGGCGGGGGTTTTATGTTGTCATGTTGTTGTATTATTTAAAATGAATACAACAGAGTCGGGTTAAACCTGAAAAAAGAAACGCAACAAAAGAAACCATTGCGCTAACCTGATTGCATTCTCTCCCCTTATTACCCTGTTGTTGTATTGGTATTGTTACAGTTGCCTCCCTTTGTTGTCAATACGTGAGGCTCGCGATTCTTGAGGTGAGATGTGCAAGGCCATGCTGTTTTACCTGTTGCTAGTGCGAGGCCATGCTGTTTTACCTGTTGGCAGTGCGAGGCCATGCTGTTTTACCTGTTGCTAGTGCGAGGCCATGTTGTTTTACCTGTTGCTAGTCATTCAAAATCTAGACATCAAGCTGAACAGAGGTGTAAGTTTTCCTTGCGTTAGGCATTAGTATCACTAAACGTATCAGTTTACAATCAGAGTTTCCTTCTCTTCGGTGAGCCACCATCAAGGTCCGACGAATTGCCTCCCCTAGGAGTGATGTTTTGCTTGGGGTTTAACTCCAGCTACCATAAAGAATTCAGGGAACTTGGAAGGGGCCATTTTAATCCCCCAGGGCCTTTCTCAATTGTAAAATAATTTTCAAATATAAAAAAAAAAAAAGAAGAAGAAGAACACAATTACAAAAGATTTATTTTAAAACGTCATTTATTCTGTTCAGATGTTTACAATTTCAACGGAATGTTAGGAGTTAACTATTGCATTCTTTGAACAATGTTCTTTAAGGTTACACAGATAAAAACAAATTAATTTTAAAAAAAAATTATTTACGTTTTTAAACATTCCCTTTCAAAGACTTTGTCGAAATTTTATTTTAATATTTTAAAATATTATTAATTTATTTTTTTTTTTTAAAGAAGATAGATATTTTTTTTTTTTTTTTCAAATACACGCAAAGAGTATCGTTGTAATAGACATCGCCTTTCATTGCAAAGAGTATCGTTGTAATAGACATCGCCTTTCATTGCAAAGAGTATCGTTGTAATAGACATCGCCTTTCATTGCAAAGAGTATCGTTGTAATAGACATCGCCTTTCATTGAATTTTAAACAAGGTTCGTTGTTGTTTTTATTATGACAAAGGCGTTAAGGCTACAAGTCTTAATGAGTCTTTCGCCCATTTTATTGAAGCATGACGAAACTATTTGATGTTCACTGATTGTTTGTGTTTTTACCCTTCCTGCTGAAACCATTTACAAAAGTCACACCGTCAATCTTTGTGTCATTATTCTGTGTTAACCTCTTCACAATATAATTTACTTTTAAAATGATTGATCCGAAATATGTTTGTTTTTTTGTTTTTCTTTCAGTTTTAAATTTCTTTTTATCAGAACAAATTTGGTTGTTAAAAGAAACAAGATCCTAACCAAAAGAGTAATGTCAACATTACTTGTGAATAATCAGTTTGATTGTCTTACTTCAGTTACATTGATAGTGATTACTTTAATAACATAACAAGTAAGAATGTAACAGCTAAAACCAAGAAGTTCGCTGGGTGGAAGGGACTGCCGTTAAACAGTTGGGTATAGCGTGACGTCACCCCGGTAGCTTGGCGGCAGTCGTGGGTCACTCCGGCGTAGAAGAAGTCCTGCATGATCTGACCAGCTTGGATGTTGCAGAAGCTGTACACGGCTGTCTCACATCTGTATCTACCCACCGAGACACTAGACAGCAAGAGGGTAAACATTATGGTTGACACTGATTTTAAAATGATATTTTTTAGAGGTGATGCTAAGTGATCAATTAATTTGGAGATTTGGTTATCACTGGTATGTTGTAGTTCAATTATCACTGGTATGTGGTAGCGTAGTTATCACTGGTATGTTGTAGGTTTAGCTATCACTGGAAGGAGACATTCAACAGTGATGAGATTGCTATACAATTAAAATAACGTTATAAAATAGGCTCAGTCCTTATGATCCAATGACATTGAATCATACTCACACCTAACATAGTCATACACAGACCTAACATAGTCATACACAGACCTAACATAGTCATACACAGACCTAACATAGCCATACACAGACATAACATAGTCATACACAGACCCACAATAACCATACTCTGACCTAACATAGTTGTATAGATATATGTTTATTTATAAATGAGTGTGTAAAAATGTGTTTGTCTTTTACTTTTAAGTAGGCAAACCTCCCACCCGTCTACACATAAAGTCATAGGTTGTATTCAACACTTACTTGCAGGCCAGCTACACATAAAGTCATAGGTTGTATTCAACACTTACTTGCACGTCAGCTACACATAAAGTCATAGGTTGTATTCAACACTTACTTGCACGTCAGCTACACATAAAGTCATAGGTTGTATTCAACACTTACTTGTACGCCAGCTACACATAAAGTCATAGGTTGTATTCAACACTTACTTGTACGCCAGCTACACATAAAGTCATAGGTTGTATTCAACACTTACTTGCACGTCAGCTACTCATAAAGTCATAGATTTTATTCAACACTTACTTGTATGCCAGCTACACATAAAGTCATAGATTTTATTCAACACTTACTTGTATGCCAGCTACACATAAAGTCATAGATTTTATTCAACACTTACTTGTACGCCAGCTACACATAAAGTCATAGATTTTATTCAACACTTACTTGTACGCCAGCTACACATGGAGTCATAGGTTGTATTCAACACTTACTTGCAGGCCAGCTACTCATAAAGTCATAGATTTTATTCAATACTTACTTGTACGCCAGCTACTCATAAAGTCATAGATTTTATTCAACACTTACTTGTACGCCAGCTACACATAAAGTCATAGGTTGTATTCAAAACTTACTTGCACCCTAGCTACACATAAAGTCGTAGGTTGTATTCAAAACTTACTTGCATGCAACTACTCATAAAGTCATAGGTTGTATTCAAAACTTACTTGCAGGCCAGCTACTCATAAAGTCATAGGTTGTATTCAACACTTACTTGCATGCAACTACTCATAAAGTCATAGGTTGTATTCAAAACTTACTTGCAGGCCAGCTACTCATAAAGTCATAGGTTGTATTCAACACTTACTTGCATGCAACTACTCATAAAGTCATAGGTTGTATTCAAAACTTACTTGCAGGCCAGCTACACATAAAGTCATAGGTTGTATTCAACACTTACTTGCACGCCAGCTACACATAAAGTCGTAGGTTGTATTCAAAACTTACTTGCATGCAACTACTCATAAAGTCATAGGTTGTATTCAAAACTTACTTGCAGGCCAGCTACTCATAAAGTCATAGGTTGTATTCAACACTTACTTGCATGCAACTACTCATAAAGTCATAGGTTGTATTCAAAACTTACTTGCAGGCCAGCTACTCATAAAGTCATAGGTTGTATTCAACACTTACTTGCATGCAACTACTCATAAAGTCATAGGTTGTATTCAAAACTTACTTGCAGGCCAGCTACTCATAAAGTCATAGGTTGTATTCAACACTTACTTGCATGCAACTACTCATAAAGTCATAGGTTGTATTCAAAACTTACTTGCAGGCCAGCTACTCATAAAGTCATAGGTTGTATTCAACACTTACTTGCATGCAACTACTCATAAAGTCATAGGTTGTATTCAAAACTTACTTGCAGGCCAGCTACTCATAAAGTCATAGGTTGTATTCAACACTTACTTGCACGCCAGCTACACATAAAGTCATAGATTTTATTCAACACTTACTTGCAGGCCAGCTCCTCCAGACGAACTCTTGGTAGTTGATTCTGGGTTTCCAGCTGGACAACTTGAGTAACTCCTTGGTTAAAATTATTGTAGCACCTTCTAACCTCAGGCGTGCTTAGCAGGCAGCGAATATTTCTGCGTAGATCTGGGGAAAGTTAGAGGGGAGATGGAATAGTGGTCTGTTTATATCTGGGGGAAAGTTAGAGGGGAGATGGAATAGTTGGATGAGGCATTGCAGTAGATTAGCATATGGCGTCAGATGACTGATATCGTAGATCAGGGGGGGGGGGGGGGTAGGGGGGCGCGGAAGTTAGAGAAGATTTAATAGTTGTATAAGTCAGTTCTTTTGATTAGCATATGGTCTAAGATGACTGATAATAAAGATCTGCGCTGTATTTTTGGTCTGATAGGAGCGAACATACTTACGTGTGAGGTAGACTGGGTTATTATAAGTGTATCTTATAACGTCATGTTAAATTTCTTGGGTTTGGTTATTTTTAACGTCCCTATAAATCCTAAAATTTCAAACGGATTAAAAAGTATACTTTTGGCTACCCAACAAAATCTCGTGTACAATAAACCACGTGTAATAAAAACTGGGCGCCATTTGGTAAACCCACTTTGAGACTAGCTGCTACCCAGAAACTTTGTTTTACGGTTTTAATTAAGTCTATTTATTTTACTTTGATAGCATCCCATAATAATTCTTTGATGTCAACGATTTGTCCTAGTCAACGATCACTTATGTCATCACTCTTAGTTTTCTATTGTAGCCCCGGCTACCCTCAAACAAAAATAGATAGCCCCACCGGCTACCCTCAAAAAAAAATTAAAAAATAGGTAGTGTTAGATTTTAAAAAAAAATCATATTATATAATTATGTATTTAAAGATGCAAAGGTCCCTCACTGTTCAGATCCAAAGAGCACAGTCCTTCGTAGGCAATCTCCATGTTACGTCTGGAGAAGACCAGCTGTAGGAATCTGTCGGCTGGATTGTTAGATCTGGGTAAACGGGTCTCAAAACAGTTGATGTAGCTGTTGTAATTGCTGAAACGTAATGATATGCGGAGGTCAATAACCAGGTAAAGTTACTTTATATATATTAAGTTATTTCAAGTAAATCTTTGCACTTAATTTTTTTACGTTTCGTTTAAGAACTATTTTTTCATTTAACTATGAGTAGTTATTCGGCACCGGCTGATAACGGATTCAAAATATTTTATAGCATATTTTGGGTCAAATAAAATCAAAATAATTATTAAATCTGACACAGGTCCTTGGTGCAATGGTAAATGTGTCCGCCGGTCCTTGGTGCAATGGTAAATGTGTCCGCCGGTCCTTGGTGCAATGGTAAATTTGTCCACCGGTCCTTGGTGCAATGGTAAATGTGTCCGCCGGTCCTTGGTGCAATGGTATATGTGTCCACCGGTCCTTGGTGCAATGGTAAATTTGTCCACCGGTCCTTGGTGCAATGGTAAATGTGTCCACCGTTCATTGGTGCAATGATAAATGTGTCCACCGTTCCTTGGTGTAATGGTAAATGTGTCCACCGTTTATCGGTGCAATGGTAAATGTGTCCACCGGTCCTTGGTGCAATGATAAATGTGTCCACCTGTCCACCAAACTTAAAAGTTTGGTAAAGGCTGATATAGATAACAACAAAAAAGTCAAAATACAGCTGTTAAAAAGGTGTCTTCAATCAGCTCAACGTCTGGTTTACTTAACACAAGAAATATTCTATCCGAAAGATTCCTCTAGTGTCACGTCACTAGATTCATGTTCAAAGTGCCGCCATCTCTTCTCCTAGTGTGGCGTCCTTTTAATGGGTAGCCATTTCAGATAGTTTATCAATGTATTCATTAGAAGTGTGTTCTATTTTAGTTGAATGAATTCATTTGATCTGATAACTTTTAACAATGTTTAGATTTTATTTGTGTTTGTTCCAATTAAATTTTTCAGCAGAAATTGATCCCCCCCCCCACGCACACACCCCCACACCCCCACACCCACACACCCCACACACCCCCACACCCACACACACCCACACCTCCACACCCCCAAACCCACACACCCCCACCCCCACACCCCCCCCACACCCCCCACACACCTGAACCCGTCTCAATGTTCGTTTCTAAAACGTTAGAAACAGCGTTGCGTGTTTTGGATTATGTAGTTGCTTCCCCTTCAAACTGCTTCATGAACTCTTTTAAAACACTCCAATTAATTACTTGTTGTAGTCGCTTCCCCTTCAAACTGCTTCATGAACTCTTTTAAAACACTCCAATTAATTACTTGTTGTAGTCGCTTCCCCTTCAAACTGCTTCATGAACTCTTTTAAAACACTCCAATTAATTACTTGTTGTAGTCGCGTCCCCTTCAAACTGCTTCATGAACTCTTTTAAAACACTCCAATTAATTACTTGTTAGCCAGATAAAGCCCTTCGTGATTCACCCAAATAATTATTACAAGTGTCAATTTTAACGGAAATTGTCGCTTGTGCGTTGCTTTAAACTTGAAATACTCTTACCGGCAAATGGAATCAAAGGCAGCCATTGTGATTCCTTCGGGTGTGCCGTTCTGCTGATTCGGGACATTGTTGAGATTGTTGTTCCTGATTTGCTCTGTCAGACACTGCTGAGCCACGGACTGAGCCTGGGCCTCAGTGTACACAATCTGTACAGCAACTAAACCCGAGAGGCATATTATGTGTACATTTTATGTTTACGGAGGCAAGACAGATATGACATGTGATGCACCAACAAGGTTATAGCTTATCTAGTTTTGCTTTAAAAAAAGCAAATTTGAAAGCTTCAAAATCTAAGCATGACGCTTGCAGCAAAGAACACTTTAAGGTGAGTACTACTTAAATGCACCCATTTATTCAACGGAAGCATCCTTCTATACAACGAGTTCTGCGATATTCTCTGTTCATCAGATGGTCAAAACATAGAAACGCTTATTTCAAACAGAGTTTTAAATGACGTATGTAAAGCAAGGGAACAGTAGTTATCATGCTATGGACGAAGGAGGAACATGACAGAGAATCAGGGCAAGCAGGCAATGAAAAGTGGTTGGCCACATTCTGACCCCACTTCGATACATTACAAGAAGTGGCAGCTAGGGTTAGGTTTGCGGGCCACGAATTTTGCGTTTGCCCGAAAACGCCACCCCCCCCTATAAAAACCAATTGCCGCAACCCCCCCCCCCCCCCTTTCCACTTTCCTAAGCCGATTAAAACAAATACTGGTGGATCCAGTGAGTGACGGCGCCAACTTCAAAATTTCAATACATTCCATTTAAGATAGTTTATCAGTTTATTGATTAGAACTATGCTCCGTTTTAGTTGAATGAATAAATTTAATCTTGGCAATGTTTAAAATTGTTTGCATTTCATATGTGTGTTTGTTTCAGTTAAGTTTTTCAGTAGAAATTGATTGCTTTTCCCCCACTTGTTTTATTCTGAAAAGTAGGAGGGAAAGAAAATAAGATAAACATAAAGAATGAGCGAAAATTTGGGAGATTTATTTTATTATTTTAAAGATGTCTGCTTGTTACGTCTGAAACCAATATAAAATAATTGAAGGGCTTGCATTCAAGCTTTGTGAATGAAATAAGTAAAACAACGTATGTAGAAGCTTGAATCAAAAGACGGGGCTATAAGATGTAAACGTTTCGGCTTAAAGCCTTCTTCAGCGAACAGGACCAAAAAAACTTCCGGCAACAACAAAGTAGATCTCTAAAGTTTTTTTAAACTGTGCTCTGTTTTTTGTCGTTCTTCTATTTGTCCTGGCCTAGGTAATCTATATAAATATATAGAGCTTTAGTCGAAAACCCTGTCTCATCTCAGTTGTTTAATGAATAACTTCATTTGAAACCAACACTATGAAATGCATAGACCATTATTTCATAATATTTACTAAACAATATTTCAATGAAGAAATTTGTATTTTAAAAAAAAAATTGTTGTGAAATTTCCCGATAAATTATAAAAATATACAGAAATGTCTGATTTCAGACTTCCACTTACCCCAAAGAAATCCAGCAATAAACATCGTTTAGTCTGTTCGACTTTCTATAATATGAAAACAAAAAGTTCTCCAGGAAGATAAAAAAAAAACAACAACACACAATTTCCAAAAACAACGAAGGTCTGGGATATTCCAAGTGAAATACTAACATAAGTCGATGTGACCTTCGCTTTTAAACACCCCCCCAAAAATGGTCCAAGCTTCAGAAAGACGCAGTGCGTGTAAGCTGACAGGAGACTCTGACGTAGCTCATAATTAGATTGACTTCATTAATTTGGACTCCCGTCAGATATTACGTCAGAATTTGTTTACATCAAATTACTGTGTATCTAAACTTGAGTCAATTTGAAGTCAAAAACAGTTTTTTTAAAATTTATTTTAAAAGTCGTATTAATATATTCACGGTGCGTTGTTGAGTCCACAAATATTAACTCAAACTATCTAATAAAACGCCGAAGATGACACGACACAAAATAAATAATAAGGCAGCATCAAATATTAGAGAAGGACTTCCGTCAGCGACCTACTGATCAGGTCGTGTATACAAATTTGGTCGGAGAAACACTTGATTGAAATCCACCTTTCATGCGACCGTGGGAGGGAAAATCGTTTAATGTATACACGTCATTGTTGGACCACAAAATGACGTACACAAATGTTTGAAAGAAAACCCAAGTTGTTGAGGGTGAGGTGACCAATGAGACGAATCAACGTTTCGTGTGTTTTCACTGGATGGAAGGATTTCCTTGTGGCGCACGACTCGACAAACACAAAATACAATGCGTGTAATCCACGGGGGGACAAGGAGACCTACTAGTGTAATCCAGGGGGGGGGGCAGGGCAGAATCTATAACAGTTGATCGTATGAACTGTTTCCACTACATGCCATCTGAGTCCAAAGTTAAATTCACACAAGACCAATACATACGTGAGACACATTTAAGACTTATGTGATTATGTTATACACTGTTAGAAACGTCAGATCGAGGTTAGGCCCATTTTTGACCTTGTTATACACATGTTAGATGCGTTGGATTGATCTTAGACCCATGTTAGATCGACCATGTCACCTCGATGTTAGACACACGTTATACCTCCTCTTCTTCGTCTATATATTAAGGGCCCACGATCAATTTATTGATCAATCTGGCTCCTATGTATGTAGAGGGATTTGTCATGTTTCTGTGCCTGGTATTGAAGAGGTTATTTCATTGGTTGCAAGGGCTAATTAGCGAGGGTTTCATGAACTGGGGGTTTCGAAGGCCTGGGGCAATAGACGCAAATGTGTCAAGTGTTCAAGTAAATTTTTCCTTGTGGAAGATTGTTCCAGTCCCTAATTGTCTTTGGCAGGCACGAGCAGTTCCTGTACTGTGTTTTTGCTGTTATGAGCCGGAGCTGCCTGTCATGGCCACGTCGCTGTCTGTAAGACACGTGTTAGTTCGATGTCTAACCTTGTTATATACATGTTATCTCGCGGGATGGTCAACCCCCCCCCCCCCATTTTCCTATTCGCACGCACTTAGAATAGTATTTTCTTGTTCTTGAAAGACTCACTACTCGCACTTCCACCCTGTTTGTGGATGGGGCGTTATTATTGTGTTGTTTAGTTTACACTCGTGTCATTTTAAGATTTCTCGTGCAGTGTTTACCTGGTGACAGGCTGGGAAATAATCCTGGGTCAAAGGAGGCGGGTTGACACTGTCGGTCAAATTATCGTGGTTGACCGCGCCTGCCTCGTGGTTGATTGAACGGGTTGTTCAGATTTACCTTTTGAGCTTTATACCTAGTTCAGTGGTCGGAAAACTAATTAGTTGAAAGAGCCAAAAATCAGCAGCAGGGCGATTACATTTTTTTGGGAGCCAAATTTCTTTTCAAGAACCTGTCAAGAACCATTTTTTTTTTGGAGTCAAAACCGATTTGTGGCCGACTGGCCAAGGTAAAGAGTCAATTTACTTGAACCGGGATTTTTCAAGCATTCGATGTTTAATTAAAAATTAAATAATTATTCTTTTGTCGATGATTTAAAGCAGTGTTTCCCAACCGTTTTTTTTTTATGCCACGCCCCACCTAAGCCTTTCTAAAATTTGTATTCCCCTCCCCCATGTATCATATACATAATTTTAAATATTCAAAAATAAGGTTGTTCACTAAAGAAACTTAAATGATAGGTTTTAGGAAGAATTCACTAAGAAATTGGTGAGGAAAGATGGTAAGTACATTTTTAACGAACGCTTATTTGAAATTCAGTCTTTAACGATTCTCCATTTTAAAATACAAGTTAAATCATAGAAGACGGTTGTTTTTCAAATTCTAGACAGCTCATTTTCAAATTGCCCCCTCTAAACATTCAAATTGCCCCCTGTGGGGCGTGGGCCCCACGTTGGGAAACACTGATTTAAAGATTACAATTTTAATACTAAAAGGTAGCAAATAAAAATATACAACGAATTTTTAAAAAAGTCTTTCTATCCAAGACGAGTTCAAACGCACTATAATTACTAAAAAGTAGAAAATATGTTTTTTTAATTTAGGGGAGGAACCCAAAGTTGAAATGTGTAAAAATGTTTAAACTATAAACTTCGAATGCAGGGGGCTACAAAACCGAAAAGTGGTCGGGGGCCTCCAAAGGGATGCGATGGCTCTGGGTGCGAGACTTAGTCAAACATTTTGTTGGGGGAGCAAGACTAGTAAATACGTTTCTTAGGAGGGCAGACCTCACATAAGGTTGGGAAACTTCAAAGTTTCTAGTGCAATTAAAGTTTAGATTTTTAAAAAAAAAAATTGTTTAAATTTAATAGAGACTAAAAACAGCTCACTGTCACGTGGAAATAAGCGAAACGATGTATGATCCCCCCCCACCCTCCCCCCCCCCCCCC